GATATAAAGCAAGCTGCCTCTCATATTCTGCTGTCAGCTTTTACTCCACCTCCCTGCGTGAGAAGTAAAACCAAGCCAGGTGGGAATTATGGAGATTACCTGAGGTGTCTCAAAAAAACAATCAAAACTTGACACACCAGCTCTGCCAGGTGACTCCAGTAAATCCTTTTAAGACTTCATGGCCCTTTAGAGGGACCATGTACAGTTGGGGAAAAGGATAACTAAAACCTGCATAGGATGTGCTATGAAACTTTAATATCTCTTTTTCTGGCTGCTTGTACTTCTAGAAGTAAAACCACTGTATAAGTGTTGGGTTTATGTGTTAAACCTTCTCTGAGTAAAATGAGATTGAATTGCTTGAATGCAGGTTTTTTTATTTGCTCTTGTGCACACCAGGAGCAAATGCTTCTTTCTTACCAGACAATAAAACAATCTGTGTTTATCAAAGGGTGCTGTCTAATGTTTAGAGGTCCCTATTTACAGTACAATGTAAGTATGTTTTCTTTTGGATCTTTCTACTCTGAAAGTTTAGAAGCCCTCTGCACTGGTGAAAATATTTAACTTTTTCTAAATTTTCTGATGTGGTTTAAGCTATCCCAGCTGAAATCAGGACACCTGCAAATTTTTACACTGAATAAACTGTTAATTAACTGCAGTAGTCTTCAGTATGTTAAATCTTCCTCACTGAAATTGCTAAATAAGTAGTGGAATTGTTAAAAGACATTATTTCCCAAAAGTCTAGCACTAACAGTCTTGGGCGTATTGTTTATCCTCTCAAATGTACATAATTACTCACTCTTAAGACAAATATGAAATTCATAGTCCAGTTAGTATATGACTTTAGGTCCTTGTGATACTGAATCTCATGATTCAGGCCTTTAAGATCTAATTAATCTCAGCACTTGTCACAGCAGGCAAAACTGGGTTATGGCCTGTTTTGTCCTAAGCCAATAGATGGGTGGGGTATTAAACCACATGGAGAAAAGAAAGCTAATTTACCACCCTGCATGCTTAAACAAATAAGCTGATTAAAAGAGACAGTGATTTTGTGTGACTTTCCTACAGCTGCTAAATAAAAAAAAAAAAAATAAAAGTGGCAGTTTTCCTCTCTGGTTTTAAAGCGAAATATTTCAGCTCTGAACAAAGGAGGTGGGTAAACAAGTGGCTTTGAGGACAAGAGGAAAGCATTGCTGTTCTTTGCAATGAATGCCCTAAAGCATGAAAGCAGAACATGCTCATTGTATCCATGATACTGCTGTCTCCCTAAGGCACAAAGGGATGGCACAGGGGCTCAAACAACTTTGACTGCAGCAAAGTAGCAGGGATCCCAGTGGAGTTCCCATGGAGCTTTCATCAGAAATGGAGATTCACAGTGTGTTTAATCTCATCCCCTAAAGACTTTGCTCTGTGTCAGACAGCAGCAGTGCATAAAGATTAGAACTGCAGTCTGGCAAACTGGGTCTAAAGTTGCACAGTTTAGTGTAAACCAGCACACACACATCCTGCCCCAAAAAAACAAACAACAACAAAAAAACCACCAACCCAAACTTAGGAGAAATTAAAGAAAGATCACACTTCAACCCAGCAGATACAGAGTCTGAATTACTGTGCCTCTGCCTCATCAAAACATTGTTATTACAGGACAAACTCCTATTAGAGCTGCAGCCTGTTTGTCACATGTGATTATGTCCAGTTCTTGCCCTCAATGTCAACAGAACATAGGCACAAAGGCATTCATTAGTGAGCTCCCTGGTAAAACACAGATGAAGCTTCACACAGGAGTGGTGTTTTGAAGAATTTCTTGCCTGGAGAGAAAGAGACATTCATTGTCTGAGTGCTCTAAAAATCTGAACATGATCAGGTCAGACAGATCTGCCCACAAGGTTACTGTTTTATCTTGTAAGATCCCAGGCAGTACCTCTGAAACAGCTGTTCTACAAATTTTCTCTTTAAAAAAGGCAGTGTTAAAAAAAGACTTCCCTTACTATCTCAGCCTTGCCTCTAATGATTTCATTTTCTCTTTGTATATTTCACTCTTCTGATACAGGTTACAGCTGAGACATTGTTATGTTAACTTAGAATTTCGCTGGGTCACCAAACTCCTCCTATGTCATCTTGCAGAACTTTACATTCAGGTAATTTGTGAATGGATGCAGAACAGAAATATTACTTAACATCAGGTATGGATTAGTTTGACTGCTTCCTGAAGTTGAAGAGTATTGTAAGAAAAGAGCTGTAATTCAGCCAGTATTCCTGTACATTTTAAACATCTTTTAACACATTACCCAATCTGATGTCATACACACTTTTAACTAGAAGGCTTTTCAAGTACAACAAATGGGAAACATTCATAATTGCTTTGTCCTCTTTGTCAAAACCAGTGATAGAACACAAGTCCCAGAGCCAATAATACTGATATTAAAATGTGCTGTAAAATAAAATTTTTTAGGCTAGTGATTCTTGTTAATCTGGCAAGGCATTATTTCAGTATCAGCCAGTTATTCTGGCTGTGAGAATAAATCTCAAAAGTTACCTAAGTGTCCACAAGTTACACAACATGCTCTGCTTTCAGTTTTGCCTCTTACATTTTATACTTTCTTTTTTCTTCACAAGACAATGTAAAGAGGACCATTTAGTACTACCAATTACAAAAATATTTTGTTTTCAGCCCATTGCATTTTATTTTAATGGCCTTTTCAATGATTTCCAGGTGAATTATGTGGAAATATTTTTAATTTTACATATTTTTGCTTGGAAAAAACCTCACATTAATGCATGTAATATGAGAAATCATTATTTGGAAAGATGACTTCAGTTTTAGACTATGTTTTCTATTCACAACATAAATTGCACATCCTGAATGGTGTTCTCAGAACTTTCAAACTAAGCTCCACTGGAAAACCGCTAGTAACCAGAACTCTTCATGGACTGTGTGTGTCTTTGCACTGGTGCTCTCACTACAAATGTGAATAAGACACACAAATCTCTCCCAGATCTGCTGGTTTCTGGCATGTCAAGAGAGAAATCGTCAATAATAACTATTGATGCAAAGTCTACCTGGCAGTCAGCCACTGCTGGTGTCCCTCAGGGATCAGTGCTGGGATCAGCACTAATGTCTTCATTAATGATTTGGATGATGGGACAGAGTGCTCTCTTGCCAGGTTTGCAGATAACACAGCACTGGGAGAGCTGTCAACTGCTGGATGGCAGGGCAGCCCATCAGAGGGACCTGAACAGCCTGGGAGAATGGGCTGACAGGAACCTGGGGAGTTAAACAACAAAAGCAAACACAGATTCCTGCATCTGGGATAGAACGACCCCTCACAACCCAGACAGGCTGGAGCCAAATCTCTGGGAAGCAGCTCTGCAGAAAAAAACTGAAGGTCCAGGAGGACAAGATTACATCAATCAGCAGTGTGTCCTTGGATCACAGAAGCTTAGGAGGCTCTAGCCTGGGCTGTATTCTTGTGACCACCAATTGAAAGAAGTGAGCATTCCCTCTGCTTGGCACTAGTGAGACCTCTCTGGGAGATAACATCCAGTATCGGTCTCCCCAGTACAGGACAGATATTCACATTCTGGAGGGAGCTCAGCTGATGCCTTGAGTGGCCACCAAGATGGTTTAGGGGGCTGAAGAACATGATGGAAGAGGTGAGAGAGAGAGAAATGGGCTCATTAACCCTGGAAAACACTCACAGGATGTCCTAACTACAGTCTGTGCTTCCCTGATCAGGGGGTACAGGGAAGATGGAGTCAGATTCTCCTTAGAAGTGCACAGCAGTAGGATAAAGGCAACAGGCACAAGAAAGGACATAGGAAAGCAATTAGATAGAAAGAAAATGTTCTTACTGTGAAAATACTCAAATGCCCAGGCAGCTGTGGAATGTCCCTCCCTCTTTGCAGGTGTTTAAAACTCACCTGGACAGATGATCTTAATGAGATTTGCTGTTAGCAGGGAGTTGGCCTAGGTGACCTCTGGAGGTCACAATGAAACCCAAATTATTCTAAGACACTATGATTTCTAGATACAGGAAGAAAAGCTACAGAGAGCTGTTGACAGTTAACCTGTAAATGGCTGGAAAACAACAGCAAGATAAACAGTCTAATCAACTCTGGGCTTGTTGGCCTATCTTTAAAAGCTTTTAAGATTTTAGGATACATTTTAAAGGTAAGAAATACTGAAGATGAAGTGATGAATGTATAACGAGATAATATCCTATATCACACTACCAGTAACACACCCTTGAGATCATTCTAGTATTTTCTTTCATAAGAAATTCCAGGTAGTTTAGACCTGCTGTGATTAAATAGCACTTTAGGTTTTTCAGGCTGAGGAAAACATTTAGTGCAATAAGTATAAAGCAGCAAGAGATCTGATTAAACCAAGGAACTGAGAAATCATACCAAAATGAGAAGATTGAAAATTGGTTCATAGTTGGTCGTTTCAAGGTCTGAAATTGGGACTACATCTCTTTAATATTTAATTTTGCCATTATCATTAAAAAGATGCAGAAGGTGGCATTTGTCAGTGTCAAAGGTTACACATGTTGTCAGCATCAGCGAAGACTAAAATATCCTGCAGGCTGAACTGAAAAATCTTTGGGATGACAGCATAGAAACTGGATGATATTTAATTTCACAGCATGCAAAGCCATGTATTTAAGGAATTGCAGCCAGCTGGAAATTACTAAGGAAAAAGATGTGAACGTGCTGGCAAATCACTTGCACTCTGTTTGGTGTACAACAGAGCAAAAGGCTGTAATCTTTTACTGATTTTTTTTTTTTGATGCTTCTAGATTTCCTACCAGAGAGCAGCCCTGAATATTGTACAGCTTTTCATAACCAGCTTCTAATTTTTTAGAAACCTTTAGGCTTTCCATACAGCAGAAAACAAAATAAAAGTATATATGTGTGTGCACAGAGGAAGAGATGGAAAAAGAAGAGACAAGGGAAACACTGAAGCACAAATATAATTTTTAGGGTTGCGATTTTATGTTTGAATAAACAACCACTAATTCCAGACACATGTCCAGATACCACTTTTGAAAGCTTTTGGTAACACCTTGAGTTGCACTAAGGAAGGTACTTCTCCAGTTAATGCTTTTGGAGGGACAGCAGGTGACATCTTGCCAGCTTTTCTTTTGGTAGTGACATTTCCATGCTAGACCTATCCCAAAGGTTTTGCATGCTTGAAGTATTCAGAAAATGTTGTTGTTAGGCTGTGAAATCATGTTGAATCATATTAATAAGTTCTTTTATTCTGCTCTGATAGTTTCTTATTTTATTATTATATACATTATTAACTGTGCTAGCAGCAGGACATAACAAATGTAAAATACTTGCTCAGGAACACTACTGGTTCCAGCAGGGAATAATTAAGAATGCATGTCAATAACATTTAGGATTCTAATGAATAAAAGATAACTCATGCAGGCAACCCAGAGACCTGCATAATTTTGTCCAAGAAGGTTAAAATGCACGATGAGTGCCTAATTCAGAGGGAAGCACTTTTGGGTCATATATTTCAATAGCAGACAGGATGAGATCAAGGTTCAGATAATATACAGGTTTGAAATTTCATCTTTCCTGCAGGAAGCTTTCAAAAGGATGTCGAAAATCTTCAGTGCAATTCACCTGAAAAGCAGAAAATACCTTGGAGAGGTGGAATTTTGGACCTTCGGCTCTTAGCAAAGAGAACGGATATCAAAATCAGAAACTTCACCTCTCATTCTTAGGAGCACTGACTGCATTGCCCCAGCTGGATCTGAGTTGGTAAACAAGTGCTAAGCACAGCTGTGCTCCAATCTCCATAACAGAAGCAAATAAAAGCAGTAAAGAATATGACCATCAAACTGGCTTTCTCTCAGATCTGCCACCATTACTCTAATTCTCCTAATTGCCAGATGCAGATATTTAGTTCTGCATCCCAAAATGACCTTGATTTTATTTTTCCTAGAAAAATAGCAAAGGACAAAATGTGTTTCTGTGGCTCAGTCCATTTAGACCATCTCATTTGCTTTAAACTTTGCTGTCTATGGCAAATGTAGGCTCTAGCATTATTGGCTGAATCTTTTTGGATTCCACACCACAAAATTTTAACAGTATGTTTAGAAATTACTCCTACCTCCTTAGTACTCTTCATTTCAGCTGGCATTCTGCAAGCATTTTGAAAGCAGCAGCGAGATGGGGACTGTGGGGCGAGAAAACAACAAAGAAAGCAAATGCAAAGGCTGTGATTGTACAGAACACAGGCTTTAGACAACCAGGACTCACAAAACAGGCACTGGTGCACAGATCCACTTACAGTGCTGCCTTTAAAACAGTAGATCTAAAAATTATTAGAAATTTCAAACACAAAGCACAAACTAGACTAGTTTGCTAGGTTGGAATTTTTAGATGCCCGCCTTTCAGTTGCTCTGATAAAACCAGACGCTGAAGTTCAGTTCATGTCTTGGCATCACCTCCTCCCTTACTGAATGGTTTTCCCAAATATAAAAAAAAATATCTTAAAACTTGAGCCAAATCTACAGAATATAATTAATTTTGGATATGTTACTGAGAAAGCAGATAGCAGCCAGGGCTCCACATGAGGCACCCTAAGGTTTCCAAACTGGCATTAGGATGTGGGAGGTCCCCAGGTCCCCAGCCAGGCCTCTGCTGCAGGCTGGAACTGTTCAGGGCTGGTGTAAGGCACACAGAGGAAATGAGGGGCTTTGTGTAGCCCACTTTTTCACCTGTAGAAGAAAAATGAAAAAAAAATTTGCCACTTTTTGTCAATGTTGTTTAAAATTATTTTTATCTCATAAATTATTTTAATCTCACCTGGCAGCTCACTTTGCCTATCTCCATGCAGGGACAACCACTAACTAGCTTTGCTCCTATTCTAAGCTGGGGTAAGCTACAACAGAGCAGGGTTTTAGACAGCTTTACCTCTACCCCTGTGCTGTTGCCTAGACTACAACAGACAGACTGGGTTTGGTCAGGTTGGTTCCTATGATGGATAGGCAGAATGAAATCTCTTCTGCCCCTCTGGGCGCTTCTTTCCCCAGCAGCACAACTCCCTCCCTAAGAACAAGCCTTTTCCCTTAGCCCACTGCCATGTCACATGTAAAGAGCTTGGTTTTCTTTGTTGTAGTCTCACTATCCTATTTCTTTCTCTTTCAACCCAGTTTTCTTCTTCCTGTTATAAGGCAGACTAAATTTCTATGTCAAATTTTACAAGCTGTATTTTTTTAAAAGATGATGGAGTATTTAATCTATAGGCAGTGATGTGAATTTGAGTTGGTTCCAGGGTCCTCCAGATTTCTAGAGCTAGCTAAAGCATTTTTTAACTTTTCAAGCTCTCAAGGATTTGGAACAAAACTTAGAAACATTATCAGATGTTATGGATGGGTGGTGTGGTGATTGGCTCCCGCAAATGAGGAATGGATATTATGTGTGTTAAATGCAGCTTTGTTAAGGTTTAAAGTTTTTTGATGTGTGACTGTTGTTGTAGGTTGGTTTTGGACCCCTTTTTGTCCTCATTTTAATCCTCTCTTTTCCCCTCTGTATTGTTGGCAGCAGATATGTGGTGGGCACGTGGAGGGAGGCTGTGTACACGTGCCCCTTGCATGAGGCAGCCAGGAATGGGGGAAGCTTGTGGCTGGGGGACTTGGTGAGGTGACAACACCTCACCTCCAATCCAGCTGCAAGAAGGTCTCCACCAAGGAACAGCAAAGAGTCAACTGGCAGATTTTGGGAGGGACCAGGGATATATAAGGAAAATGTTTGAATTTTTATTAGTTCTCAGTAAAACTTTTATCACTCATTCTCGCTTGGGGTCTGAGTCATTTATAACATCAGAGCAATTCCTACATTTAAATGCCAGGGACTGAATTAAAATAGACCTACCAGCATTAGTTTAAAACCCTCAACTGACATGGTTGTTTAAAGCCAGTATTCAAGGTGCTGCTTGGCCACAGGAGATATAATTAAAATAATGCTTCTGACAGGGAAAACAAAACCCTTCAAGTTGATCTCTTAGCCACGCTTAACTGCAATGATTTAGCCCAGGGAATATATGATGATACTTTTACATCAGGGCTTTTGAGGGTATTTTTTTAAAGAGCAAGCATGTGGTGGAGGTATATCAGGCAATTTGACATTGTAATATTGTCTGATCTCCACCAACCAGATTCTGCAACCAACAGCGGGAAGCAGGGCATCAGCTGGCAGCTCTAAATTCATATTCCAAAGGCTGAGGTACATTTTACAAGCCATCTGTGGCCTGCTCTCAAAGGGACAGAAGGCACACAGGAGTGCTTTGAATTCTAATGAGTGCATTTGCTTTTCAGTGCCCTCTGCACTGGCACCCTGTTTCCATTCACACTCAAAGTTATTTACCTTGAAAACACAGCTAAGGATCTGTGCTAAGTCATCACTGTTCAGCCAAGGTGCAGCGCTTTCTGATATCCCAAACACATCTTTGCAACCCTCCTTTCTCCTCTCCTTCTCTGAGAAGACAGAGTTCATTGCTTGGAATTAAGAATCTAAATGAGGATGAAGAAAGAGCCTCTTTGCTAAAAATAGAGTTAGAGAAGTGCCAGATAATATTTCTCTAGTTTCTGAGAAATGCTACATAGCACTTACCAGATGCCAAGTAATAACTTACTTGATTTCTCCATTTTTCATTGACCAATCTATGGACTCATGTAAGATTTTTTTTCATTCTGACCATTTCCTGGAGATCTTTCAGAGGAAATTGTTACTACTCCTGAAAAATATTCTGCAAATCCCAAACATGAAGAGGAATGACAAGAGAGGAGCTTCACTACAAGCAGAATTACATTAGAATTACCGTGGCACAACTGAAGACGGTATTTGGCCCTAAGTCTTTGGTTTCAGGCTATAAGTCCAAATATCTTTCTGCAAACAGCAGTTACACTACTTTCCATCAATTAGGCAACATTCCAGGGGGATGCTTGGGTTTACTGGAAATGATATTTTAATTCTTTGTAAATGAAGGACTAAAAATTATGGTCAGGTCAAGAAGGTCTGGGGTGCACTTCACAATATAGATCAATAGCCAGAAAAATTCAAAACAGACTCACAGCTAAGTGTCAGTGCAGATTTTCCTCATGAAATGAGTAAAGTGCTGCTCTATTGGCAACCTCATTATTCACTACTTAGCAGATACAGTAATGACTTTAGGCAAATGTGAATATTGAACCTGAAAGGTCTCAGTACTATAAGCAGGAAACAAGCAGAAATGACAGTTGTGTTATGTCTTAGTTCCTCAGAGGGCCAACAGAGCAGAAAACAGGAACTCAGAATTTGAGCAAATTGTTCTTCTAGGGCAGAACTGTTCTGAGAGTAGAGGGGTGGAAAGTGAAGCAAAAAAACCCTGTGAAGTACTTTCCTTGTTTACTGTGCCTTTATTTCCTGAAGAGAGCAGGGGCCCAGTGAATGTGACACATTTCTAGTAATGTGGAGGGCTGGATGGGTCACACAGACTCCTACATCCCTGCTACACCACTGGTGAGGAAAAAACATGAACCACAGCTTCCTCCATAGGAATGGCAAGCTTAGCAAGGAGTATGGTCAGGGGAGCACACATGGGAACTCTGCATGAAATACACAGATTGGACTTCATCAGCCAATGGTCTCTCTTTTGTTTAACAGCCTGAATAGCAGCCTAGGCAGACTGGGTTATTCCAAAAGACAGTGGTTCTGATGGGTCAGAGCAAGTTCAAAGCTTCCCAAAAGAACAGAACAGATTATTTTTCTGGCCCAAAACCCATTTGAGCAGCAAAGCCTCAGTGCTGTGATAAAGCTGGTTTGGTGTGGCAATGAGACAAGGCCAATGGAACAGAAATATCAGTAGGATTTAATAGGAAATGGAAAATGAAAAGGATTCTTTTGGGACCTTGGTATAATCTTGAGAACTGTGAACAGCAGAGTCAACCCTTAAGTTTTCAGACACGAGCTGTGTCATCAGCAAGATTTTTGGGGTTTGCAGAGGCTTTAAATGACTTGAGTAAGGTAACTGCTTCTCCTGGAGCTCCATCTTTTTCAACACTTCCATGAGGAACAGCTGCTCCTCTACCAGCAGTGCCCTGAGAGGAGCTGGGGTTGCTCTATAAGCTGAGAAAAAAGTGGGGCTAGAAGGAAGGTGTCTGCCCATTTGCCCATACCCTTTCTCTCAGCTGGGGCAATGTCTGCATTGTGCTTATCCCAGTCTCCTTCAGCACAGGAAAACAACCTGCAATGACCCTACACTGCCAGCTTCTGTGCTACTGCTTTAAACACTGTTGAAGTGGTAAATTACTCAGTCTGAGCAACCTCTACCCAAAAGTGGAAGCCACTCTGCTGTGTTTCAACCAAGAGAAATTTAATGAGAAAGTAACCATTTTTTAAGATGAGATTAAAGAGGGAGGAGGGTTTTTGTGAGGAAATTTGCTCTAGAGGGCAAATACAAAAATATCATATTGCACTGTGGATATGGATATAAGAGGAGAATGTAGGTGACCTTCCTTAATGAGACCAATTTGCATAGATAGTAAGTCAGAAAAATAAGTGAGAATCAGAATTCTGTCCATTTTCCTTACTGTACTCTCCTGAGGTGGGAAACACCTTTTATTTTAGAAGTTGCCAAATCTATGGACAACTACTGGAATTTGAAGCCATCAGACCAGGAAAAGTAAGAAAAGCAATATTTTTTGTGACACTCTTAAAACACTGCCATTTCACTGTAAAATAAATCTTATTCACCTAGGAACTCTATTTTCACTTCAGTGCTGTAAGCAAAGGTAAACATGAAGAAGCACTTCTAGAACTAAATGATGCATAGAAAGGCTTAAAAAAACTATTTATTGTAAACATATATTGAAAAATCTACCAGTCAGTGTTTGTAAGAAGTTTTTTCAGCTTCTGGCTGGTGAATCTTTTTCACAGGAGTAAATATTCACCTTCAAAGACAGTAGGTTTTAAGCAATGTTTTAAATTGTTCATGGTTAGTTTGGTCTCTGTTGTTTAGTGGGTTGTTTTTTTATGAGGTTAAGAGGACTCATGCTACTAAAACTGGAAACACCAGAGCTATAGCTAATTTAGCTAAGGGGAAGCTAGAGTAAACTGTACTTTCTAAAAGTAGTTATTTGTATGATGTGTGAGGGGGAACCTTGCTGTTTGCTTCAACCATCTGAGCAGAGAGTT